CCATTCTTATAAAATTCCCTCTATAATAGCGCATGCCTGTTTTCAGATGGCATCGTGAACGTACCTGGTGTGTAGTCTTATAATGAGCGGGCGATGCCGGTTCTGCTATCGAGTAACGTTGGTTCGGCCAGCACCTCTAAATGTCTTTTCTATGTCTAAATATTCTCTTTAAATTAGAGTGTAATATGCTCTGTCGAAGTTTGTTTTTCTTCAATCAGCAAATAATATTTCAGAAGCTTTTGATACCAGGAAGTGACAACGCAGCTAATCTTATAAAAGGGGAAGTGCGTTGACGATAAGATATATTTTCCTCCGACCTCGAAGTTTCACTTCTACGATTTTACATTTACAGCATGTTACTAATGGTATTTATTAAAGTAAGTACCTACAGCCATCACCAGTCTCCCTCCAACCTACTTTATAATTATTATGCTTGATTTTACCTATACTTTTTATTAACAATCTTTACTGTATAAGCACATCATCAGAAGTTTTCAAACTGTTATAAAGAAGTCTTATCTGTTAATTCTACATGTATTGTCTAATAAATTGTAATATGCCTACATTTTGTTTCGCGGGCAATGCTGAAAGTAAATTATAATCAGTGGCGTTTTCTTTGAATGTGCAAGTCGTGAGTCAATACCCAGCGAATTTTTTTTTAAAAAATCATTATTTCCTCTTAATTTATTTGGATATTTTAAATTTATTCAGTATTCCATGTGTTCGGCGACATAGATCTAGGGTTACCATACGCTCTATTTTTGAAGTAAGAAAACCTGTCCGAATGAACTTTATAAGAAAGGATGAAATTACCTATTTTTATTGAAAAGAGGAAATTACTATAAAATGTAACCTAGACGTATGATAAACGAAGTAAACTGCACTTTTTTTAAAACTTTTTCGAGTCACCGACATAACATTTCATTGTTGTATGACATTTAACTTAAATTTTCTCGTATAACAACCGACAAAATCCGTAGAAAAATTTACTACACTTACGTTCTTTACTCCATGAAATACTACTCTGCTACCATCATATTGTATGCTGGTTATATATTCTATAGTCTGTGGCGCTAATTCTGTTCTGCTGGCCCTGTGAAGCATAGAGGAGAGATATCTCTACTCTATGCTGTGAAGTTAATGCCATCAGTTAATATCATTAATATTTCAGTATCCAAGTCGTGTGCCATTCCTAACTCTTAAAAATTGGCGATTCGCTTTTTCCTCCGTGTACACTTGGCATTAAACAAATATAATATATTGGTATATCTTACATTATAAGGGTAAAACATACATACAACATATAACATAATAAAGTTTTACTCAACGTCATTCGTATGATTTCACATTCTCGTTTTTTCAAAAATTGTAAACTCGCAGTTTTTGGTCTGTAACATTATCACACTAGAACTGCCGAATTACAGAAAAGTTAGTCATTCGGTGACATTTTTTAATTCGTTAGTTTCGCAGCGACAATAAATTTCATATTTTGAAGATCAGTTAAAGAAAATGTCTTACATGGACAACGACCTAAACTTTTACGTTTGCCGACTTCGCTTCCATTGATTAATAATAATAATAATAATAATAATAATAATAATAATAATAATAATAATAATAATAATAATAAAGTATTGAGTAACACATACAATTACAATCGTGTATGACGAGTCAAATATGATATATTTAGAGGAAGTACAATCGCATACATCTTCTTCGGAGCAGCAAATGAAGTTACATTTATTTTTTACTGTCCAGTAACAAAACAAGGGGCCATCTCAGCATTTGCTCAAAGGACCAGGGAAACTGGACAAAAAACCTCATCAAGATGGGGTCATTGGCCTAGAGATTATACTAGAGTACTTGTTACAGATAAATTACGATATTACATAGTATGTAATTATTTTTAGTAGCAAATAGTTGAACATTTGACTTACTTTAATTTAATTCAAAATATTTTAACATTTCAAGATATGTACTGTTTCATTTTTCAAAATATTATTTTCTTGGTATAGAGATTACAAATAATGCTGGAAAACACAATTTTTATCGCACTGCGAACCCACGAAACGTTTTGTGGGCAACAGCTATTTTTCGGCATTCGATGTATTAAAAACGCTCGGAAATGTGTAATGGAAAAGAATTTATTTAATCATAATATACGTAGTATGTTCCCTGCAATTCTAAACAATATGATACATTACAATAAAATATGCCCTCAGACTATTACATTCAATTTACAGTATGACAGGTACGGATGGTGAGAATAGAATTTAGTGTAGCTCCCATTTTGTACTCTATTTTGTTAATATACACAAAATGCGCATAAAATATCGCCTGTAAACTGTTCTTCAGCGTTTTTCTCTAATAAGACCATTTTCAATTAGTTCCGAAAATTCTGTCCCCAAAATACAACTACATTTCATTCTTCCCCGGATTTTCTTTCACTTCCATATTTTTGTACCCTAATTTTTGTAGAGATTGAAACTCCACAAAGTCAGTCTAATTGAGTTTATGTCTACTTCCCCAATTGCTCTATTTATCGTTTTGTAAGTGAACATTAAGAGGCGACTGTTTCATATGTTTATGTGAATAAGGTGTTGATAACGTTTTAATAAGAATAAGTTGTTACTCACATTCATTTTAAATTTAGGTATTAGCACGTTTAAGAATGCAAATGTGAAAAGTCGAATTGTAGCCTTCATTAACCCACTAACTTCCATTTTTCTCCTAACTCATAATTGACTGCTGACTGTATCTATAATTAATTTGTTATTATTTACATTTAAAACAATCTTATATATGTGCACACTATTAATAAATTATGACCGAGAAAACTTCGCCACAAAGATAGATAAATTTATTCAAAATACAACTGGGTATAACCCGGTGGCACCTGATTACATAATTAAGATAATATATCTAACATGCAAATTATACAGTAATAATCATAATGGTGCAATAATAATCACAGTAAAACTATAAGACTAACAATAATAATAATATAAAAATGACTGATTCATAAAACATTAAATTACCTTAAGAAAACGAAACTTCTATAATCTAACTCCTGAATGTTTGTTCAATTAAGACCACAGTGCACTGACACTGCACAGCACTTCACTATAACCCTTAAATCACTTCATTATTTCTCTGATCTACACTGTACGACACCTCACTTCACCTTATATTACTTATGCTTTGCTCTATAACATACTATTCTTATTTAAGTCCCTCATTTACTTAGTGATGTCCTAAATTAATTTCCTAAACTGTTGACCGCTTAACAATTTCCTTCGCGTTCAGTGTTGCCATATCGGCGGAATTCCCGCCGTTTTCAGCGGATTTTGAACTCGAACGGCGGGAAAAAAGTTAGTTTCGCGGACAGCGGAATAAACGGCGGAAATTAATAAAGACGGTGGAAAATAAGCGGAATTTCAAATTTCACTATTAAGGACATATATAGAGTGTTCGAGCAGAAACATTTTAAAATAATAATAAAAGACAGCTAATTCAGTCTACATAAGTGCGTCCTTCATTATTATTTATTAGACTGTCCGGGTGACGCCGCGTCCATGGCGAAGGTGCCGACGTTTCGGTCGCCAGTCGCTAGTTCCGTTATTATTATTATTATTATTATTATTATTATTATTATTATTATTATTATTATTTTAAAATATTGGTGCTCGAATACGCCAATAACGACGGCTATGACCAAGAATAAGCAATTGTCCTTATCTATTTCATGCATTCATAAGCATATGTCCTTTTCTATAATTTGTTTTAATAAAATAAATTAATGCACCATTTAAATATGGAAAAAGACTATTTTATTTAGTACATTTAGCGGATTTAGGCGGGAAATTTAAAACCAGTTCAGCGGATTTTCGGCGGAAACAAACGAACATGGCGGAATCCCTCTGAACAATCTGGTAACACTGTTCGTGTTTGCCGTACTCCTTTTTTAAGGTGTTTATTACGAAGTGAAGAGGTCTCCAGGCTTTCTGTACAACAAAATCTATGTGACTTTTCCAGCTTAATTTACTATCAAAATGGATCCCTAGGTACTTGCATGAGGAAAAACTCGAGTAATGTCGTTATTTAAACGGTAATTTCTTTCTCTATAACTATGACCCCTGCCAAAAGTGATGATTTGCTTTTGGAGCTATTTATGGTCCTTCCATTTTTTTTCCGCCCAGTAATATAACGCATCAAGATCCTGTTGCAGCATTTCTTCGTCTTTCGAACTCATACTATGATACATTATACACTCTTCGAAGACAAATAGGGTCGTTTCCCAGGAAAATTTACTTGCAATTTTTACCTCGCTTCAACTAAAAGGATCAAAATGCCTTCTTGGGAGACCTTGTTCAGGCACAAATATGTAATAATTTTTCCAGAAACGGTGTTTATGAAGCTAGGGTGTTATGGGTGCCCAACACATCTGTTTAAGGGTTAATAAGGTCCGTGTCACACAAGCATTTCCTTGACGTGCGTCGTAGAGTAACACTACCTCATGCAGAACTGCCAAAGTTCTTGTTGATATTTCCGAGAACAGTGTTAATGTATGACGTGCGTTTCTGAACGCACGTCAACTCAACGCTTGTCCAGGGACGCTAAACGACTGACAATGTCCCGTTTGACTTGGCGAAACCAGAGATGGTGCCATATAATTATGATTACTGCAACCTCCAGCAACTTGAAACATGAACTGGCTCAGATAAACACGCCTTTGGTAAACAGTTCATTGTCCACAGATTTAGCAACACGGTCCGAGATGTTAGAAGGTTTTGTTATGGATCAATGCCTCCTACAATTTAGTAGGCATTGTATGGGTCAAAGGTGTTAGGACAGTATGCTTAAGCAAACATCACACTATAAGTCTGCACTTGTAGATTAAAAAATCTTTGCAAAGATAGATAATCAAGAAATGGGCCTGTTATCACTTTAAATTCACAAAAAATGGGAATAGAATTTGAGGCTTTGAAATTATGAAGACATGTATCACTTCATAAGTTTTTATTCAGATTCAAATAAAATAAAGAACATCTACTTTCATTCATCCTACATGAAACACTTGTTTTTAACATCTGAGAAAAATATACCACTCTTGATTGGGAGATTAACTATAACCTATTACAAAGCTACTAAGCAGAATAATTATGAATAACACAGGCGAGTATTATTGTCAAGTATACACAAAATTGAAATTTAAAATCAGTCTATCAAAATTTTATAAGACATTTTACTCACTTACTTTATGTAAAAACAGTAACAAACTTATCATTCAAGCAGAACAATGTACAAAGATTTAATAATAAAAACTATACTTATTCTTAATGTCACTTCCTTCAGATTATAACTGTCACTGTCAGAGAAGTTAAGCAAGAATTTTTGTTGACATCTCACTACCCTTTCCTAATTTTTCTACACTAACTGCATGATAAAGTGCTGAAGTGCTTATACTTCATAGACAAATATCCATGCATGTAATCTTCAAGAACATCAAAATGGCTGATCATTGACAATCATCCCCACGACAAACATTTTGCATTACCTGAGTCAGCATTCATGATATTCACAAATTTCTTGAGCAAATAATTTCCATGAACATAGTTGAAGTAACCTAGATACAAAAGAATCTTGCCACAAAGTTCTGATAACCTTCCTATGAATGCTTCAGAGGGGTAAACTTGTACCTCATTCTCTTTGCGCACCACCAACTTTCCTGCACAATGATAAATTACAAATGAAATATTTCCAAGCAAAACTATCCTGGGTCTTTGCTTGGGTACCAGCATTTCATTAGTGTAAATAATTTCTTCTTTTCTTCTCTCTTTATCTCAAAAAATAAAATTTTCACATGGTTTCAATACATCTGTTAATATAAAAACTTATACACACCTATATACAAGCTTAAAAAATATTACATTACAAAACCAAATCCAATAGCATTCCTTTTATCTGCAAAACTCTTAGAACTCCTCCCTCACATGAAAAATTCTAGTTGAATTCAATTATTTTTACTCGTGATGCATTGCGAAATTAAATACATAAAAATAAAATTACAGTAAGTTTAAGTTTTGCATTGAAGCCAAATGATCTATTCGCAAAGTAAATACAAATGGTTTGGCTGATATGTACTTGATATATCACAATAAAAAAGAATGAAGTACACCAATACACTTATTTACATATTACAGTATCATTCTTTGTAAGATTTTCATAAGAAAATTTGAAGACCTCCGAGGACACTACTCTAAACATGATCAGGTGTACCTTATTAACTCTAATGTGAATGATCCTGGTAGTCTATAAAACCATTCTATATTTTTGAGACTCCAGAATACAAATGAATAACAGAAAAAGAATACTAGGAACTTTTGTCATCAGGAATAAGGTTTTTGATCAAATTTACAATGGGGTGGCCAGAGGAATTTCCCCTCTGGGGGTCCGAATCTCTTGGCTTGAAAGGCTGGTGTAAGTCACTTCCCACCAGTCAAGTGTCCAACCATTGACTTTTAATTATCACATCCTGCATTTCAATGGCTTTAATTACATGCAGAAGGCATATTACATCTTGTAACAAGTCCAGCATTTTCTGATTTCTCCCTACATCTAGTGTGCGACATCTTACTGTATAGATAAATAAACAAAATTTCGATACAGCAAAGTCAATAGCACTGAGTCGATCAACAGTTAAGTTTGTATTAATCACGTTACAAAAGACATTTTCCTGCCAAAACTGAAATAATACACTATTCACAACTTGTGTAAATTTGTAAACAATTTGTAAGTTGCAAATATTACTAATTAATTTAAAGTAGTATTTGAATTAATGAACTACTTTGTATTGTGTAACCTTTGATTTAAGTTAATTGCAGGCAATTTTTCAGTTACTCCTTATTTTCAAGATCTCCTTAGAAATATTACAACTTATATCCTTACGCTAGCTTCTCACAACAGTTGCTCTGAATTCTTCTTGGATATTACAAAAATTAACCTGTCTATACCTACAGAACTAATGAAAATGTTCAAAGCTTGTCAGGTTAAAAGCATTATCACTTAGATAAATGCAAAAAAGCATCTCTTTGCAGTTGGAAAAGTTATTGATTTTCAGCAATACCTACAAACATCTTTGAAAATTTAGATACATTCGGTATTAAAAAATGAAGAAGAAAAAAGAATTGAAAACAGAATACTGAAATTGATAATGATAAAAAAAAAAAAGTTTGAAGCAACATTAAAATTCAGTAACTCCACATGTGTGACACAGTTAAAAGAACAATAAAATTTATATCACATTAAAATGGGGAAATCTAATATCACAAAAAAATGAAGTGAATTCCAAACATGCATTTTTCAAAGTTGTATTAAAAATAGTTTGTAAGAGAAAAATTTGCAAGTGCTGGAAATAGATTACATGCTCACAACATATTGGCAGAGCAGGCAAAAGCAGATTGTTACTTCATCCTTTCTCTAAAATCATCATGAAGTATTTCATTTATCACAGCCTCGTTTTCGATAATGTTTGTTGAACCTCCCCTACACACAACGGTCATATATTTATTGCCCAACTCAAACAGAAACAAATATTTTGGCTATTTTCAATATACTTTGAGGAGTATATCATTAGCAAATTTCCTAGCCAAATCGATCTGTGTTCACCTTCTTCTCAACTGCATGAAAACATAAGAGAACATGTGATGTCGCAGCCTCTTGAAAACCATAGTCAAAATCAGCTACTTTAAGGAATATATACTCTGTAACTAGTTAGTCTCATTTTGTATTCTTATCTTGTCAAGTTCATGACAATTCGTCAATTTGGCTTTAAGTATAGCTCACAGACTTCCTATAGGTTCTCAACTTAAGGCCCAGAATTAAAAAGTTTCCATTATTATCAAATTATGTCATCGAGAAGATCACGAACAGTGTCGCTAGTTGCAGCATCAAATGGTGTTCTTCCTCTTTTGTCAACTGCATGCCGATTTGCCTGCTTAGCGAGAAGTGCACGCACTGATTTTTCTTTCCCATGAATAGCAGCTAAATGCAGTGGTGTGCGTCCCTTATTGTCTGATGCTTCTATGTCTGCACCGTTCACTACCAGAGAGAGAATAGCAGCAGTGTTCTCATGAGAAGACGCACAGTGCAGTGGTGTGAGCCCATTCATATTTCTTTGAGTGGTGGGAGCTCCTGCCTGTAGCATTGCTTCCAAAGCGTTGCATCGACCGTCTCTTGTGGCGCTCATCACTGCACGTGCACCAACCTCACCCCAAAACTCGTGTGGAATAGCACGTGCAATTGCCCACACCACATCTGGAGAATCTGTGATGCAGAGGGCATCTTCCAGATCTGATACAAACCATCCAGAACCAACAGTCAAAATTGTTTTTACCGTTTCTGCATAACCATTTTGTGCGGCTACTTCCAAAGTTGTAGTGAATGGATCCTCATAACTCTGTCCAAAATCAATACTTGCTCCCTTCTTGATCAACATTTCCACTATGTCAGATTGACCTGTTGAAGATGCATACCATATTGCAGTGGCACCTTCATCATCATCACTGTCAATGTTCGCACCGTGTTCTAGCAGAGCTTCAGCAATATCTTTGTGGCCAGCATGAACTGCCAACATCAGAGATGTCTGTTCCCGGATATTGACGGCATTTGCATCAATACCTGCTTCGAGGAGCACTTTCACAGCCTCAATGTGTCCATTGCGCACTGCATGAAACAAAGCATTTTCCATTGATGCATCAAACTCATTTTGATGTGCACCTTGTGAAATGAAATGTTGTATGGATTCAATATCTCCTACTTTTGCTGCCTCTATCACTGATTCTACAACCTGCGAAAAGAAAATTTATATTATTATCAACAGTTCTACTTAAAATTAAGCAACTGTACTTAGTTGGTTAAAATTAATAAATTCAAGTAAAGAAAAAAGAAAAGTATTCAAGCTTGCAGGAGTCTGTGAAATTTTGTTTTAAAAACAAATAACATAATTAACTTAGAAACAATGTCCAAATATCATTGCAATACATGCAGATAAGTAATTAAAACAGTACTAGGTAGATTTCTAAATTTATGTTTTTTTATTTCTTTATTTATTTTTATTACATATATTACTTTTTTTATTTCTTTATGTTATTTATGGCATATTGCCTTTCAATATGCCATAAATAAGATAAATTTTAATAGAAGAATATTGACAATGTTGAAACCCTAACATTGAAAATAATTTTACATTTAAATACACATAACGATAACGAACTCTAAGCTTTTTAAAAATAGTGTTTTCCTTTAATAAACAAATTTAAAATGTAACTTTTGTATTTAAACAAGATATTTTTGATATAAATATACATTTTTCTTAAGTCTTGGTTAATTTCAATCGCTGCAGTGTATTATTCTACACAAGTGGTCTTTTTATTCCCAAATTGTATTTTCAGATACTTTTTCTCGTGCAGTTATTTTTAAAACACTTTCCAAAGTTTGAATTTCTTGTTATTACACTTTGTAAAAATAACCAGTAATTGTTGGATGAAAAGGTAATGGACTGTACTGGAAATTATTCATTAACTAAACAAAAACACCAATGTTTATATTTTACTATGTTGTAATTTATTAGCTGCAGTGATATTTAGATGATAGAAAACGGGTACCTCCCCCCCCCCTCCTCCCAAGACCATCAAAGGCAACTGACAATGAGGTCTTCAATGCAATATGCTAACAGCCATTGGCAGTTTCTACATATCATTGCAAGTTTCTAAAACTCACGATTTCTTTAAAATATGAATAACTTAAAACTCATTGATTAATGATGAATAAATTTTAATTAAATCTTAATAATTTTCTGAGTTTTGAGAATCCTCAGACTTAATTTTGACATTATTAAGCTTTATGGTTCTGATATAAATATCAAGTTAAGTGCCATTGCATGGAAACGGTGTTTCACAATTCTAGCGTTACAGAGCGTTTTAAGAATTATACTATTGAAAGATGGCATACACTTAAAATGTGTAACAAATGAATGTGAGAAAGAAAAAAAACAACAGATCATTGCTTAATTATAATCTGCGTATATGCATACTACCAGGCTATGGCTTCACTGTAGGAGGCATGACAAAGCAATCTACCTCTTCTCCTGGGCAGGAGCACAATTTTCTTAAGGAACACCTTGTTAATGAATAAGAAAGGCTGCCAAGATTATGTTTTAATGTTAATAAATGACGCCCAAAAATAACCCATAAAAGTTGTTAGAAAAACTAAAAAGAAAAAAAAAGTTTTTTTCTTTTCTTTTTTTCTAATTATAATTGTTCTGAATAAAATTATTAGCTACATATCTACATTATTTACACTCACATTTCTGAATACATTTCAGAATTCTTAGTTCTTTGGAAGAAACATAACAAAATAATTATTTATTTTAATAATACTTGTGAAATAAATCAACAATTGAAAAAAAATCATTTGACACCTTCCTGAAAATGTTGATTGCATTTTTAACTTACTGGTGTATTAGAAGCTCCTCTGTTTGTTGAAGACCTTGCACTGATTGAAGGGCAATCTTCCATTCCCTCTAATACTTGCTCGACACGAGGCAAGAAAGTGCCTAAAGCTCTTTGCAGTGATGCTTCCAGCTGCAGCATTCGTGTTTCAACAGCTTCCAAATGTTGTAGTTTTGCTTCCATTTCTTCAAATCGTCTCATTTTCTGTTGCATTTCATCGAACTCTTGCATTTTTCGTTCGATGGTAGCCAATCGGTCCAATATAGGAGCCAAATGCTCATGAAGAGGCACAATTATATAATCCAAAACTTGCTCTGGTAACCAATTTACCTCCATTGTAATTGATAAACTCCGCACAATTCACACAATTAAAGCCTTGACTGCTCTGTAAATTACAAATATTATTATTCAACACATCAGAATTTTTGATCCAGCATAATACCAATTAAAAACATTAAATAACAAACTTTGAAGAAATGAAAAATACATCATCAAACCCCTCATAGTATCATTCAAAGAAATTAGACAGGAAACTTTCATGCAAGATAAACATAGTATGCAACTAATTACAAGAAATGTTTAATGTCTAATAATCAGAAGAAAATATGGAATTCAATGCCAAAATGGTAATATTGGTACTTTTGGATTGTTACATAACCCAAGTCACAATACACACCTACAACACTTCATATTTTTTTTAAACTTTAATCATTGTAAAACATGCAGAAACGTCTTCAGAATATCAAGAAATTTATCTCTTCCTATGAACACCACTGCAATCTAATCAAGAACACATTAACAGGTATCCAAACTTCGTAAACGTAAGAAATAGTTTAAATACCCATTATTACGAAGACTCGATAACTATTTCTGTAAATAAATTTATATTCTATTGTTTGAAATGTAATAATTGTACCTATAACATGATGTTCAATAACCTTTATCTTTCGAGTCGATACTAAAAACTTGTGTCATGTTAAATGATCTATGTAAAAGTTTATGAAAGATAACGTAGCACTTTTCGTACATTACAACACCTACCACTAACACACAGCAGTAAACAAATGAAAATCCGTCAATATAGAGTTTTTTTCTTATGAACACAGATCCAAAAACTCTATTGTCGTACCTCCCTCCCCGGGCTCACCACGACTACAAACTACTAAGCTCGAGATACGAAGAACAGAAACATACTGACAATATTGTGGACAACAGTAGACAAGAGCAAGAAGACCACCTGCTCTATTGTACATCACCTCTGCACATCTACCAATAGAATTGGAGACATGTCACGTCACGCTAAACATGCCGCGAAACCGCGCTTCCGTCAGCTTCCGTTCACTTGTCACCGTCAGATTAAATAAAATAATGTTATCGACTTTACATGGACTGCATTCAGTCTTCGTAAAAAGCCGGAAAGTTAATGCAATTGCACGTTTTATCAATGATCATATCTGGCGCGTGCTCAAAGTCTATGTTTCACGTCAAAATATTTATTATTTCGTCAAAGAATAATGAAAACTAATGACGTATAGAAGAGAAAGTACAATCTGCGCAAACTGAATCTGAGAAAACATTTTTCACATATAAAGCATATTTTACATTATTTTAAAGCTTAGAGACATATAAAGAATTTATTGAGATAATTTTTATTTTTTGTCTAAAATTGCACGTTTACTTTAAGTAAAAATTACTAATGCAAGCACTCGCGGATCCAGAGGGAGTATGCCTCCTTCCCCCCCCAAAAAGGCCATGAGTTTTCGTTTGTAACCTTTTATTTGGCAAAATTGATTTCAATTTTTAATTATGTTAGAATTATGTAATTATTAAAAAATATTATATTGTACCATGTATACACTACAAAAATAATGTACAAGATAATAACAAACGTTTATTGTTTATAAAATAATAACAAAAGTCTATATGGCCTCCTCCAAACTGATCGGCTGAGGCCCGCCCCCGAACGCAAGGCACGTTTCTTGATGATTTAAGGAGGCGTATTCAAAAACCTTTAGATTACTAACGGCTCGATTCGGTAAAGCAAGTTTCGTTGAGTATCGAGAAAAATAAAGAACTAATAAATGACAAAATGAGGTATCGGTATCTAGGGACCCCAAAAGTGTATTTCCGTTGAAATCTCGGAATCGATTTTCCGCAGTATTACATAACTTTCCATATACTAAGTATATTACCCCGTATATACGTACGTATACGGGAAAGTAAAAATGGGTAGCGTATATTTTGCTGGCCCTATCACTAACTTGTGTAACAGGTTCCCCCGGGTACGTTGGTCAAGTACCTCCATCTGTTATCAATATTTCAATAGCTATATTGAAAAATATTATAGCTATATTATAAAAGCTATATTTCAATGTATCTCAACATGGAAGTAACTATTAGGTCGCCTAAAGTGGTCTAGATTTACTGATGCCGCACTTCAAAGTACAAACGTATCGCAGTCAATTCCTACACGATAACTTGTTGACCATTTATAAGGTCGTCTAGTTCACTTTTTTAATAATGTTGGTAAAACCTATGCCAATTCACATGCTTCCGGGTACGTGAGCAAGTAACTATTGGTGCTAGCGAATGGCTGACTTTCCCTTATTAGTTTTCTATTTCCTTGGGCCTCGGCTAACTATATGAATTCGCCACATACTCTTACTAGCTGCCATCTATCGCTGCCTAAAAAACTTTGTTTTTTTAATTTCTTAATTTTCCGTTCCCTAATAATAGAACGGAAATATTATTATACGAATATTAAAGACCAGTGAAACCTCGTTCTAAATTGAAATTTTCTTTGAAACATTTTCAGTTGTTTTTAGGAAAATGGTGCTTAAGCGCTGTAAATTCGAAATTTGAAGGTCTTTTTCACAGAACATTTTCGAGTTTTTGAAAAATTTCATTTCATTCACTTTAACTAACAAATACAATAGTGTTTACAAACTACTGAAATGTGTATATAAACGCGCGAGAAATCATTCAAAAAAATAATTTGTCTAATTTAAAAAACAACAAAAACACCCCGAAATGATCTTTACGTCATATTAAGGAGTGCAAATAGCACTATCCGTTCGAAAAGTTCGAAGAAAAAAAATTTAGAGCTGTTTTTTAGAAAATGGCGTTTGAGCGTCAACTGCTAAGGTCATTAGTCCCGTACGTGTAGTGCATGTTTTCTCCTCGAGGTGGCGGTGAACTTCCCAGCTGGATGGTAAGATCCGGCGCCGCGCTCTCATTCGGCTAGCAGGGTTTCCCCTACCAGGTATCACCCACCAGCAGGGCACAGCCCCAGCCAGGACAAGCTCTAAGCCCCCGACCTGTCTCCCGGCATGTGTGGTTGTGTAGTGAAAGTAAGAGGATAGGACAAATAAGAGGAAGGGAAGATCGCGCACACTCCGTGGCCCGTTTATTAGGGTACTGCTTCGGCATTCGCCTGGTGATGATCGAAGAAACCATGGAAAACCACCGATCGGAGCAGTCGACCGCTCGAATTCTCCTCCAGAGCGTTTGAATTCGATCTAGCTATCTAGTATCGAAAATCCAGGCATCGTCGGGACTAGAACCCCGGACCTTCCGGTCAGAAGCGCTAATGACATCAATCGATGTCCTGAGCCATCTATGCCGGTTTATAATGGTGGAGCGGGCTAGGTTAAAAGGAACGACTAAAGTATCTGTACAAGGAAATTGGATTACTAGGAGCACTAAAATTAACAGTCACAATTCGGAAACTATCAGATTTATTTCTTTGACAAATTAACATACTTGGGATAGTTCTATTAATTTTTGGTTCAATTTTGTACATCACTTTTTCTCTCAACACCAAGATCACTGCAATGAAAACTGCACAAAGATACAATCATACCATACGACCACATTTCCTGTTTTCGACGATTTCGCCATTGCCCGGGTTTTTACACTAAAGTAGATGGACTACTACATTTTATTACTTCATCTCTATCAAGGTGCTTATTTTTAGTTTGCCTTCTTTACAACACAATCCAAAGGCATGACAAGAGCAGATAACACAAACAGAGATATTGTTCAAGTCTTGAAATAACGTAATAACATTTTTGGGAAAGTTATGTGTATAAAATTATTTACGATTACGTGAAGATATTTACGATACATTTAAGACATCATTAAATAAGACTTCTATCCAATTTTGTTTATGATTAATGTATGAACTGACAAATATTCTAATATTAATTTGGGGCACCGCCGATTATTCTATTTTTTTCTCTCAAATTCAATGCAATAATTAAAATTCCGCATACAAGTACAAACGCATTATTTCATCGTTAATGATAAATGCGCAATGAGGTAACACTCAAGAGATCGTATCCCCTAATAACATTTGTGAAACTTTGAAAAACTGCGTGTCAAAACTGAAGATTATAATGTTCGGGTGTACTAACGGATCATTTTCCATTGATTGTACAACTGAGAAAATATGCGTTTCGTTCGTAAAGTAGACGACAGTGTAACCCAGATCGTTCTATTAGGGAGGGAGATAATAACAAAAATTATTCTATAAAAAATTGATAGTAATTGAAATCTGCCATTAGAACTATTGTGACGGTCCCTTGGTCAATCCCCAGGCCATTGAGCGGGATGTATTAATCGATCCTTTTCCACGGACTTTACAATAATTGAGGAAACGTGCCTCTGCTTCGTAATGTTGACAGCACTGAAACCCAGATTGTGCTAATAAGGAGATAAAACAATTCTTCGAGAAATGAAATGTGATTCAAATCTGCCATTAGTGACACACTATTGGCCAATCATCAAGGCAATTTGGCGAGTTAAAGACTAATTTTGTTCGTTCTATGGCAACCAGTGCAGTTTGCGATGTCGTTCAGGGAGCTGAATAGCGCGCGTTAGGAGGAAAAAAAGCGGTAATCACAAAACGAGTGAATATGTTCGCCTTCTATCAGTTCGTTTAGCCAACTTCATGTTTTACATAAGCTATTGTTCGCCTATTTTGTGAGGCAAAACCCAAACACAGAATTAAAGTAAAACAAAATTATATTCAGGATATTGCAATAGCGAATCATATCTTAAAAAAGATAAACATTTTATGGGTCTTAGAGTCTTTTTTGGGCCAAGGTGCACAACAAAATGCCTATTTAAAGAGCTACATTTTAAGTTCAAATGCAATGGTAACCAAGAAAATTTCAGCTTTTAGAAAAGAATATATAAAATATCAGAAACCCCGTTTTTACTTAGTTGTTGTACAATAAATCGTGTATTTTCAACCAATTCTCAAAAATGTTAAATGTTACCGAATTTAGATTCAGATGTACAAATTAATAAATACTAAATTATACCCTACATACTATACATATATACGAGTAATTAGAGTTAATTCAAACAAATTATGTATTAAATTCAATCAAACCAGATAATAATTGCTTATAATGAAAGTACTTAAATATGGGGATGGTACCATCTGAAATTTACTTTCCAAAAGTGTATTTCTTTAGAAACTAGATTAAACACCATGGGACATTTGGATCTCATTAAAAAAACACATAACGAGACCTAATACGCGTTTTTCAGTTCATTCCAGCCCACTGTCCGTCGCGCGAAAGATACTGAATGACCATTCCTCGGAAACTTGGGAGACGTAATTTTGTGGACCATATCGACTTTGCCCGCTAACCCTCCTCCGCGTGATGCTACTTGTGTAGAGTAAGCGAGCACGCACTGAGAAAGTCCTTCCCGCACGCGTGGCACAGATACGGTCGCTCGCCGGTGTGCATGCGCCGATGAGTAGTGAAAGCAAGGCCCCACACACCAATGTCAAGGATGTCCAAGCGCAACAAAAATTGAACGTTGCGCCGTCCGCCATGATGATGTCAAAGGCACCTGCGCTGAGCATACAAATATGAAGTTTCGGAAATAAAAGCAAGAATAAACATTTAGTTAGATGCATCAATAAGAAAATATTCCTAATACAACGTATTTTTTTAATCTTCAGATCAATGGCATTCCTTCACAAAGTTCAGAGAATACATTTTCTTGTTTACAGAACATTTTATGGATAATCTTAACTGCAAAACTGCTTGTTATAAACTTAAATTTTTTGGTTTTTGTTTATATAAACGGTTAGTGGCACATGACCAACCTTTCATAATGAAGTATGGTGGACAGGAAGACAATCTTTGTTTTTACAAATTTTCCTAATCATACACACGATTTAGAAGGAAAATTGGTCACTAATAAGTTTCAATTAACCTATTAGTATAACACTTCAGGACAAAATTGAAGAAATGAAGTCTTGAATATGGAAAATAAATTATTACAAACATTCTAACCAATAATATTTAATAATTATAGTGAACTTTTTCTTTTGAAAGGTTTAGGGAAATTTATCAGGGTTGTAATAAAACAGACTTTTTTGAGAAATAGAATTTTACTTATTGATTCATGAGGGTGATTGAATTTGTGCAATGCTGTCTTATTAATTTTTTTATGTAAAAAAACTATTGTGACATTATGCTAAGTGGCAAAGCATGATTTTAACATACACTCGATTCGTACAACCGAATGCTACACAGCAAGTGACCATAATGTTTCACTAAAAACTTTGTATTATAATGTAAACGCTCGTAAACGCACATGAGCTTCGGCTATTCACTTCACACACTTGCTATCAACATGGCTAACCGCGCAGTGTTCAATTTGCAGCGCTCCGAAAGGCAGGAAGGTAGGTCTAAAACTATATTCCAAAGCCTTTGAGTGAGAGTAAAGAGCTGGGCACATGCCTCGTCGCAGCGATAGGGCCGCTCTCCCGCGTGCGCGCGCATGTGGGCCGCCAGGTTGATCCAGTCGACCAATACCTTGCCGCACGCGTCGCAGCGGAACGGCCGCTCGCCTGTGTGCGTGCGCATGTGGCCCGCCAGTTTGTTCCAGTCGACGAATACCTTGCCGCACGCGTTGCAGCGGAACGGCCGCTCGCCTGTGTGCATGCGCAGGCGCGTGGCCAGGTTGCGCAAACCCATGTACGCCTTGCCACACGCGTCGCAGCGGTGCTGAGCCGCTTGCCGATGTGCGTGCGCTTACGGTTGGCGAGCAGGTCCGCCCTGGCGAACGCCTTGCCGCACGCGGCGCGGCGTTAGCGCCGCTCCGCGGTGCGGGTACGCCGGCGAACCACCAGATTCCTAGGGGGTCGCAGCGGAACGGCCGCTCGCCTGTGTGCGTACGCAGGCGCGTGGCCAGGTTGCGCGACTCCACGTACGACTTGCCGTACGCGGCGCAGCAGTACCGCCGCTCAGCGGTGTGGGTGCGCCGGTGAACCACCAGATACCTGGGCCAGGTAAACGACGCGTCGCAGCTGAACGGCCGTTGGTCGGGCGAGGACAACGCCTTGCGGTACACCCGGCAGAAGGCCGGCGCTTCGTCCGCGTGCTCTCGTTGACAGCAGGGCGGCCCACGTGCATCGGCAGTTCCCACTGCGTCGGAGGCGTTAGGTCCTTTATTCCGTGAGGCCTCAGCCACCCTTGCTGCGTTGCCCGGCCGGTTGCAGTTAAAATGCCGACTCCACCTGAACAGACATTCAATTTCTGTTAGAAGCGTCTCATTACGTTGGTTGGTCAGTGATTCCCGCCCCCCCCACGGACATTAGTCCCGTAAGTTTTATCGCGAGATGTGTCTGTTATAGTGGACCGACTGGTGAGATCCGGCGCAGACATACCGACGGCTAAGGATGGCTAATTCTCCAACCAGGACTCTGCTTGTAACTACGTTCCCGACTGGTTCCCGATTTTTATGCAACAGGTGTGTCGGCATCCCGCGTTCCTGGCGAGCAAGCGCGCCACGCCTGCACAAGTAGATAGATAGATAGATTTATTAAAGTTTGCTTTGAGCTACTGCTCGGTGGCAAACATGATAACAATTAAAATTAGAATTACTAAACATTTTAAACATTTACAATTGGGTTTACTATTAGAATTAGGGGGTCGATATAATAGTTCCAATTTATTTCTAGCTAACTCTAAATTCACTCCTAGTTTACATAACACTTCACTACACTACACTACACTGCACTTCCCTTCACTACCCTACACTCCCTTCCCCCCCCTACACTACACTTCACATCACTTCACTGTATAAGGGCCATGACGATAATATTTATGACAATAATAATAATAGTAATAATAATAATAATAATAATAAAGATAAATGTCTCAATCAGTATTATTCGAGATGATCTAATGGAATGAAGTATATTTTTAAATTTGGCTACATTAGAAGGAAGAGCCTCTAGTGCTTCTGCAGGTAGTTTATTCCAATCTACTATAGTGCGATTCACAAAGGAGAACTTGCCTACATCAGTTCTTTGCTTTCTACATCGTATTTTCCAAGGATGGTCTCCTCTGCTTTTATAATCTGATTTCTGTAATCTTTTACCGATATCTGCCCATGCTGTGTCCCCTCTGTATGTCTTATACATTACGCATAAACGCGCTCGTTCCCTTCTCTTTGATAAGGGCTCCCATTCTTCTCGTTCGTCACCAACGCACCCGTGATTTACAAACTTTGAGGCGTAATAGGTAGTAGGTATTTGAGGCGTAATAGGTAATAGGTAGGTAATAGGTAATAAGTAGCGTAATAGGTGTCAGACCTACGGAGTGTTTGCATACGCGAACTTTTTAGTTTAGGCGACGAACGATGTTTACACATGGGTGAGCTATTGCGCATCGCATCAGCCAATGAGCTCAAGGCACCAGTTTGCGTCGCAATGTAAGCGGGAATTTTACATGCAGCCAGACACCAAAATGCATTTTGTTAAATATCGCAACTTTTATTTCGATTAGTCATCGTGTTACTTTTCGTTGAAAAGTGTCACTTTATGTACACGTAGGCTCACTCCGAGGTCATTGGACATGCTATTGAATTTGATAAGACCGGGCTCCTGCACTGCAAAACCGATACTGGCCTAGACGCATCAAAGAGGCAATAGAAATTAGTAGACGGCCGCACAACATCAACGCGGATGCAGGCCTTAATCAAAACCACGCCTGGAAGTATAGTCTTCCACCAATTCCTGACTGCGCGGGGACTGTTCAATACCGTCCGATCTCTAGGACGGCTGCTGCCAGGCCCGGGATGGCCCAGACCGCGAGCCAATCAGAGGGACCTCTCCACCAATCACAGCGCACTTGCGTTACCCGACTCCCTAGGCTGGAAAAAATATAACACCGGAGGCGGAGCTTTACTGTACTCTGAAGAAGCCTGCGACGTGATAGGCGAAACGTCGGCCTATCTGCCAAAGACGCGGCGTCACCCGGACAGCCTAATAGTGTCACTTTATGGCAATTGAAAAATGTTACTCAGCACTTCTTGCGGCCAGCGTCTGGTCTGGCTTTTCAAACGAAGTGCCCGTATTGTGGTCACGTGGTACGTGACGCAACCAGGCACTGCGCAGAACGATATCAATGAGCCGGAGAAGCCTTTCCACCGCGGTGCTCTCCCTCAAGAAGCCAATAGGAACGCACTGCTCCTCTCCTTCCCGGGGAGAGGCGATTGCTAGGATGGAACTGGCGGGCAGAAAAGATTTCGGACTTTCGACCGCCTGGTACGTGGTTATCGAATCGAGAGCATCAGGGTCGTGTTTAGAACCTCCGTGGCCCTCTGGCGGATAGGAAAATGAGGTTCCCCATACACATGCGCGCACACAGGATTGGCGCCAAAAATTAGAGTCGAAATACATTGTATGTGGTAACCCTTAAAATCTTTGAACTCACCAATAATCAGGACACTTTTCCCATTAAACTTTCCATTGGATGCGGTCAAGGTATCATACGAGAGAAAAAAACAATTAGTCGTTAATTGAGCGGCATGTAAAACGTTATCCCTTTATTTAATAAAAGTAATAATAATCCTTATTTTGTTTTCGAGTAACCGTCCGTGTTCGTTGATTGATGGTTTAGTGATTCCGGGCACGTCAACTACCAGGGTCATTACTCCCATAAATGTAATGTTTCAGGAGATGACGGCTTTTTAGCAAAGCGATCTAGCGGTGGCCACGCTAACCACGTGCTCCAGCGCCCTCGCCTGTCAGCGCTGCATTACGGATAGAATTCGTAAGTAGAATGTTTATTTTCGTGCAGACGAAGGTAAACCATGACAATCCCTTCAATAATTACTGCTTTTTACGGCTAAGAAATAATCTTTGTCTAATACGTGTCGCTTTTTCAGAATTTCTCGTCTTATGTGAACACAGAAAGGAATGCATAAAAGTCCTTTTTCGCAGTTCCTGCAAATGATCTCACGATCATCTAAGCAATATTTCGCAGCCTCGACACAAACTATGAATGTGTTATATCATCCAATGCAGTAACAGTTTAGATCAAACTATTTCACCATATCTTGCCAATGAGAATGTTCTTCTCTTTACACTTAGTTACTGCACTGTTATACGAGCAATATTAAATATTGTGTAGGTGTTCACGAACTGAGTATATCTAATGTGAGAATAATTATATTGTAAAAGATTTTATAACTTACTTATCACCAAATATTGATATTACTCGCGCATCTTTTCTTAACCGATGGATTGAAGAAATGTGGGTAGAGTGGGGGTATTAGTTACAAAATCTGCCACTAGATTTTACGAAGCAATGCCAATCTTTGGAAAATCAATTAAGCCTGCACAACTTTCTCAATAATTCCATGTGCTTCCTATGATGGATCTTCAACTATTTCGATAAGTTCTTTAGAATTTTTGGAGAAAATCGCGGATTGAAATACACGTCTTCAACTGAAAATAGTTTCTATTTCACGCCAGTAAAGATGTATTTGGAATATTGTCATCAGTGCTCGCTGCAAAATTGTTTAAAACACTTGAACAATTGCACATACATATTGTATTCCACACACCTAACAATCTTAAAATCACTTTCTCACTACAAAGAAACATTTAAGCCCCTAACAGGGAGTTGCAGTCAGAGTTGTACCGTAGACTATAATTTTATGTCTATACGTGTGATCGACACATGTGTCCTTCACGTAATTTACATGTAGCCTACATGACTACATAGACAATGTAATTTGTGCAGACTATTTATTTTTGCACATCAAATAACCTATAAAATTTTAGATTACGTAGAAGCAATACGAGCTTGTCGAAATGTATAATCGAAAATTTTATTTTCGTTTCATTAAGTCAAATAAAAAATACCTCTCTTGACGAAGAAATGACAATCTCAATAACCATATCAAGAAACCAGTAGGAACTTGCGCATTAGACCACTCTGCATCCCAATCTTTCCTCAAGTGGTGTCACCAACCCTGTGCGCAGATTCCTGATCATGTCGCCAACTTCTTCTCCCTCCTCAAGAGAGATGGACCCGATAAGCATTTCTGAGGTGGAAAAAGGCAATTCCAGTCGACAAATATACCAAAATAAAGTCTAATTATTAGAACATTTAGAAACTAAATAAATTTACACAATTTGAAATTACACTAATAAACTATTTATTAAACCAATTTAAAATTTAAATAGTTTGTCCTACTGGATTAAGTTTTTTTAACGAGCACTTTTTATCATTGAAAGCAATGATTAGCCATTGTACCGGTGTGAACTCAATAACTAGCAAACAATTTTTGTAACTGTCGTCACTGTAGAACTATAGCTCATATTTCCTAAAACAGGCCCTCTTTTACTTGGGACCACCCACACTGCAGGCCCGAATGATACGCTTCTGGCGCAGCCCGGGATCGGTGACTATAGTAAGTCAGAGAAAGCAATCTAAAAGCTTATTCACAATGCAAACATAAACATAGGCATTGCGTTACATAAACGTTAGGACTACGTCCATAAACGGACTCATTCATAATGCGTTTGCAAAAGCAAAACACGTCAGACGTTAACTTAAAATCTTGCAAGCTTTTGTATTTATGCTTAACACATAAGAAATGAACAAATCACATTACGGGAACTCAAAATCGAGAATCGAAACAGGAGAGAAGTCGATAGACGAACTAACGTCATATGGCA